GAGAGAGAGAGAGAGAGAGAGAGAGAGAGAGAGAGAGAGTCTCATGCATCATCCCAGGCTTCTCCTTATATTCACTACCCAGCAAGAATTATCTAGAACTTCTGATCCTCCTTCCTTCATCTCCCGAGTGCCACCCCTGGTTTGTGCAGTGCTGGGATGGAACCTAGCATGCTGTGGATGCTGCAGAGCCCTCTGCCAACTGAGTCCTGCTCCAGCCTCTCCCTGACCACTAGGCATTACCAGTGTGTATTGCCACAGCCAGGTCTCACACATATCTGTGTACATGGGAGTGTCATGGAAGTGGGGACTCTGCAGCCCGCTGCCCCTTCTCTGAGTAGCTTCCCTTTTTCACATTAGATCAGTTGCTCTAAATGAGTTGGGCCTGTCCCCTGGTTGTGCAGGGACATGTGGCTCACAGTTGTCAGCTAGAACACTCCATCGCTTCTGCTCTGGAGTCTGGGCCAGGAACAGGATGGAGCCTAGTCAGAGGGAGCCCTGGGACTTCAGGGAGATGTTCTAGGCAGGAACATCTCTCTGTTTGTGGGACTTGCAGCTTAGAAGAGCTTAGGGCTAGGCCTTCCACTGCAGTGGGAGAACTTGCAGACACTGAAGCCCACACACAGGGAAACAGAGCGGATTTCTGATATCATTTGAGTGACATAACACTTCCCCCCTCTGAGGTGCTGAGGTCTCCCTGCCCCAGTGTCTCCCACTTTACCTGACTTCAAGAGAGCTGTTCATCCCTACACATAACCTGTGATGCACAGCCTCCTCAGCTCCCTCATACCATCTCCCACCCTTGTGCTAAGTATTGTCACATGACCCAGGATGGCACTGAGGACCAACAGGTGCTCCATTGGGAAGTGCTGAGAGCGGGAACTCTCTGACTTTCAAAGACCAGAGTTGACAGGTATTGTCTGTGTCACCACATGGAGACCACTCTGTAGGAGCCAAGGCCACTCAGAAGAAAGCATACAAAAACGAATCAAGCTTCCCACGAGCTCATTGTAGATGGTGTGTGTATGTGTGCACATGGCGGTTGAAGGATGGCTTGTAGAATCGGGTTATCTTCCTTCTACTCTTCATGGCTGCCAGTGATTTAACTCAGGATGTCAGGCTTGTGCATTGAGCCTGAGACATGACATCAGACCCCCATGATGGCACTGGAGCACTTAGCTCCAGCCGTACCTGATGTCAGCTACATCCAAGATGTGATAGTCACTAACTTCTCATTTTTCTTAAACCAGCATGGGTTAGGGTTCTGATTCTTGAAATTGAAAGAGGCCTCCTGACAGTCTGGAAGAAACTGCACCATTCTTTGGCCACGCTCTCTCCTCTTTACTCCCATGCTAAAATTAATCCAGCTACATGCATCATTCTGCACCGAGGTATGAAGCCACCACAATGTTGGGGCTGCCAGGGGTTGCAAGGAAGGGCGCGCTTGGTACTCACTGTAAGGGGGGATTCCATAGGCTTGTGCTGGAGGTGGGTACGCCGTATAGGGTGGTGCCTGCTGGATGCCTGTGCTGTACTGTGTCTGGCCATAGGCTGCCATGGCTGCGGAGGACTGACCAGGAGGGACTCGAGGGTGAGACCTGGGGGGAAGGAGAGATGGTTAAGTCTCCCAGTCCAGCCCAGAATCCCTTCCCCTGGATCCTGGGATCAATACCATTTTCTTTAGGCATCGTGTTTCCCAGAGCAAAGGCATCATTCCCACACCTCACAGCTCATCTTGTTCTTGTTTTCCCGGGGGACCAAGAAGATGTGTTTGCCATCTTCAGAGCAGCCAGATTTTACTGCGGGTCAGAGCTCTGTCTAACAAGATGTAGGCAGGTGTGTTGTAAACCTCAGCCTGTGACCGGCCTTCCTTTCCCTCTCTTTGGGCAGCAATGGAGATGTCATCACAGTAGCAAAGCTATAACCCAGAGATGGTGGATCCCTGTGTTAGCCAGCATAGGGAAGCCTTCTAGAAAGTTCTACCTTCTCCACATCAGACTTCACATGAGAAACATAAAACCTTCGTTGTGGAGATCTCCAGGCTTGTCCATTACTGTGGCCAGCCTGATAAGTGTACACATATGCCTGCACATGCATGAAGGTGGCAGGTTGACACCTGGTATCTTCTGTTGTCACTTCCCACCTTAGTTTTTGAGACTCAGTTTTGAGTGTCTCCCCTAAACTCAAAGCATTCTTGTTAGGCTGGCCTGGCTGACCAATGAGCTGCAGGGATCTTCCTGACGCCATACGCCCAGCACCGGAGTAATTGATGTAAGAGACCACGCCTGTGTCTGCACCGTCATCTGGACTCTATGTGACCATCACTAGACTGTCGCCCTCTGTCTGCACCACACCCACCATGCCACTTCCCCTGGTGGTAAACAGCTGGCGATGCCCTTCCCATTGCCAGCCAGCTTCTGGTCCATTTTCAAGCGTCCCGGAGAAGCCTTGGTTCTGAAGACATTGGGAGGTGCTTAGTTTTTGTCTTCAGGACACCGGCTGAGGAACACTCATTAACCCGCCACAAGCTGTGAATTGTCGTGGATCCAGAGCCCACGTACAGAATGCCTTCACTCTGCCAGACTCTCTAGATCCACAGTTGGGTGAACGTGACCCCATGTGTTTACTCTCCTAGCTCGGGTCTCGGCACACATGGCTGGAGGCGCGGAGCTGGGGCTGACCTTGTATCAGCTAAAGGCTGTCTACTTCAAGTGTATCTTTTAGGCTGATATGAAACCCTCTGGGTTTTCACTGGTCCGAAAGGCAGATGTGAATAGAACGTCAAATAGTACAAGATCACAAACAGATGCCATCTGTTTTCCAGAAGGTTCCATGCCTGCCATACAGGATTCCATACTTTGTGGGACCGGTCACTCAATGGTCCTGTTTCCTAGATAGGGAAACTGAGGTTCAGGCAATCAGACTATTTGTGCCAGGCCATCTAGCTGTTTCCATACTGGTGTTCCTATTTGTCAAATCAGTTCCAGAGCACCCCCACTCCCCACCCCAGCCTCCACCTTCTGAAGAAATAATAAGTAAGAAAAAAAGGGGCGTGGCTAGAGTACTCACTTTGCAAAGAGCTGAGGCACACTCAGAGCGGCCGATCTGGAGACGCCTGGAGAGAGAAAGAAACAGAGCTTTAGCTACTGAGGCTGTAATCAGCACCAACTGTGGCTTCAAACAGAGGCTTGAAGAGAGTTGTTGCTGGGGCTTTCTCCACCACAGGAGTTGCTCGGAGGTAAGGCACTGACGTGGTCTCCTTGTCCTGGGCTCTGGGTATCCCTGCTCTGCAGGTACTGTAGGAAGGTAGGCACAGAAAGCACACAGAGCATCTAGGAACCCCATGTGGAATCCACGCTCTGCACGCTGCATAGATGGGGAGACAGAGGCAAAAAGTATATGCCAGGGAGGTCATATGACCATAGCAGACAACCAAGAGCTACAGGATAAAGGTTCAGGTAGCTCCAACCACATGACTTTTCCTTGTCCTCTCTCTCCATCCTCCCTTCTTCTTTCTCCCTCCTCCTCCCCTCCTTTCTCCTCCTCTTCTTGCTTCTCTGTCTCTTCTTTCTCTTCCTTTCCTCTCCTCCTCCTCTTCTTCTTCCTCCCCTCCCCATCCCAGCTCCCTCCTCTTTCCCCCTTGCCCTTTCCTCTCCCCTCCTTTTTGTGCAGGTGAAAGTGTACACACTTACAGAGACCAGAAGACAATCCCATGTGTCATTCCTTGCATTTGGTTTTTGAGATGCAGTTTCCTGTTGGCCTGGGACATGCCAGTAGGCTGCCTACCCAACAAGTCCCAAGGGATACTCCCGTTTCTACGTGTCCAGTGCTGGGATTACAAATGCAGCAGACACCATGCCCGGGATTTTTACATAGATTCTGGGGGTTAGATTCAGGTCCTCACCCTTACGTAGTAAGCACTTTATAGCCCGAGCCATCTCTCCAGCCCACATTATCATCTGATGACATCAGCTTCCTATTCCTCCTTCTCCAATTCTAATTGGTCAGGTTCCGGTCAGGCTGGGCTTCAGCTCACTCAAGGAACACACTTCTCACCTCTGAAATTCAGGCACAAATGTCCTATGTTCCTGGACACCTGGTGTTCAGCTACCACTGGTGACAATGGCAGGTGACAGGCTTAGCCAGGAGAGCTTTTTCTCTGGTATAATTGATCTGGAGGGTTCTCTGGAGGGTATTTTTGGGCCTCCATTTCATTTCAAACAACACTATTCCACATCCTCAACCAGCCCGGATGGATTCTGGGAGGGGACAGGATGTACCCAGTCACCCAGTCACTCTTCAAGTCCGCCGACTCCGAGCCTCTCTCCAACTCCCTCAGTTCAGTCTTGCTATAGGACCATGAGGCAGGCAAAGCCATCTTCCTTCCACCCTCTGTCCAGAAGCTCCATAGTGGAGGACATCTGAACCTCAAACCAAGGGTCACGTGAGTCTGCCTGGTCAGTAAGTCAAGCCTGCCCCACCCCCAACTCTGCTGAGCCTCCTTGAACTTTATCTAGAGTCACAACTGAGCTCAGATACACAGAACTGTCTACATAACTGCACAGACTGTCAGTGTGCACTGATCATGGTAAGAAAGCCATGAGTTCAGCTTGACTCTACTGTGGACGTGAGGCTGTGTGTGTATGTGTGTGTTCATACACACACGCATTGAGTTATGGTATAAGATATACTTTTTACACACCACACTTAAAAACCCAAAAAAGGTTAGAGCAGCATTGGTTTGGTGTCAAGGAAAGTTCTGGCACTCACTTGGTACCTCCTGACACTTCCCTGATCCTGAGGCCTTCGCCCCAGGCAGGCCCCACATGGCCCCCTTTCTCTTCTCTCACTTGTGTCTGAAGCAGTCAGCCTCACTGTTGGCAAAAGCTCAAGTGTGCAGGGAAAATTCAGAAGTCATTGAATTAAATACTCTTTGTGTTTTCCTTAATAGCTATGCAAATGCTCACTAAAATGGAACCCACGGAGATATTCCTATGGGCTCCTGTCAGCTTGCTGTTCCGGGCATTTGAAGCATCTTTCATTCCAGTTGCCACAGAGTGATTGGCATGGCCGCATCGTTCAGGCTTTCTTGCTTCCACCCCCTTCCTGAACCCTTCAGCCACCTGCCTCTCCCCTCCCCACGCAGCCAGGCCTCCCTCCTCTACTGCTCTTCACACTTCCGGTCACCACAGGGTTGGGGTTGGGGGGAGAGCTGGGAGGCAGAGTGGTTTTCCTCAGCACACTATGCTCTTGAAGATAGACTTTAACTCTTTCCTCCTGTATCACATTTAAATTTGCCCTCCAGGGACACAGTGAGGACCCAGAAGGTGGGCAGACCCCTTTACCCTTTCCCTCCTGGCTAGGATGGCACAGATTTCACTGACAGTTGGCCTGTGTCTGTGGTGTGGGGCTGGCATGGGACTCCATGAAGGTTAGAGATTCTGGATTATGCAGGACAGTGAGTAGCCAGGTCTTCCCCAGGGATGGAACAGAGCCTTTTGTGTGCATGCTGTGCTCCTGCTGATCTGTGACTGCTGTGCTCCTCCTGTCTGTGACTGCTTTGCTCCTGCTGATCTGTGACTGCTGTGCTCCTCCTGTCTGTAACTGCTGTGCTCCTGCTGATCTGTGACTGCTGTGCTCCTCCTGTCTGTGACTGCTGTGCTCCTGCTGGGACTGCTGTGGTCCTCCTGTCTGTGACTGCTGTGCTCCTGCTGTGACTGCTGTGCTCCTCCTGTCTGTAACTGCTGTGCTCCTGCTGATCTGTGACTGCTGTGCTCCTCCTGTCTGTGACTGCTGTGCTCCTGCTGATCTGTGACTGCTGTGCTCCTCCTGTCTGTGACTCCTGTGCTCCTGCTGTGACTGCTGTGGTCCTCCTGTCTGTGACTGCTGTGCTCCTGCTGTCTGTGACTGCTGTGCTCCTCCTGTCTGTAACTGCTATGCTCCTGCTGTCTGTGACTCCTGTGCTCCTGCTGTCTGTGACTGCTGTGCTCCTCCTGTCTGTGACTCCTGTGCTCCTCCTGTCTGTGACTCCTGTGCTCCTCCTGTCTGTGACTGCTGTGCTCCTGCTGTCTGTGACTGCTGTGTTCCTGTTTGTGACTGCTGTGCTCCTGCTGTCTGTGACTGCTGTGCTCCTGCTGTCTGTGACTCCTGTGCTCCTGCTGATCTGTGACTGCTGTGCTCCTCCTGTCTGTGACTGCTGTGCCCCTGCTGTCTGTGACTGCTGTGCTCCTGCTGTCTGTGACTGCTGTGCTCCTCCTGTCTGTGACTCCTGTGCTCCTCCTGTCTGTGACTGCTGTGCTCCTGCTGTCTGTGACTCCTGTGCTCCTGCTGATCTGTGACTGCTGTGGTCCTCCTGTCTGTGACTGCTGTGCTCCTGCTGTCTGTGACTGCTGTGCTCCTGCTGTCTGTGACTGCTGTGTTCCTGTTGTGACTGCTGTGGTCCTCCTGTCTGTGACTGCTGTGCTCCTGCTGTCTGTGACTGCTGTGCTCCT